TCGACCCGGTCACGGCTGTTTTCTGTCCTGGCCCCACAGTGGTGGAAAGAACTCCCCACTGACTCGTCAGGCTGAAAACTCACCTCTTCAAGAAGTACTACCCTGAGCCTTCCACTCACCACTTACTGTATTGTATTAGCACTTACTGTATTCATATTAGTTTGTTTCTGTACTTCTGCTCTGGTTTATGCTCTTAGATGCTTGCTTAAAGGAGATGCACTTATGACTTCTGGTGACGAGTAGTTCTCTTGAATACCGATGTTGAATACACTTATTGTAAGTCTCTTTGGATAGAAGCGTCTGCTACATGACTGTAATGTAGGTCCAGGAAAAGTGGTTAGGAAAGGACGTTAGGAAGTAACTTTGAGACTCAGATGTTCCCCTCGGCTGGTGGTTTTATTTCTTCTTCTGTCTTTCCAGGTTGAACCAGTATCAGCACCAGAACCAGAACCAGTGAAAGTACCAGAACCAGAACCAGTGAAAGTACCAGAGCCTGTCCCTGAACCAGTATTGGCTCCAGAGCCAATCACAGTACCAGAGACTCTACCAGAACCAGAACTTGTCCCAGAACCATTATCAGCCCCTGAATCTGCACCAGAACCAGCTGCAGACCCAGAACCGTTATCAGAACCCAAACCTGTCCCAGAACCAGCTGTGGTGCCTGATCCTGATCCGGAGCCCGTGGTCGAGTCTGAACCCGAGTCTGAGGAGGTTGTGGAGCAGTCCTTACATGAGCTGATCCCTGGTTCTACAGAGGACCGCCTGCCAACCCCTGAACCTGTCATAGAGGAACCAGCAGAACCAGAACCAGAACCAGAGACCATCCTGGACAACGGTAAGACTACTACAGTTTCAGACCTCCTCCTCACACTCAGGCTGCTTCTGTGTGCTCATGAAACCTTTAATTATATTATATTTGATATATTATGACTTCTTATTATTTTGTTCCTGTACTTGATTAAATGTGTAATATCTTCTGTTCTTAGTGACTCCTGTCTGTGTCTTTACTGTTAATGAGAACTCTCTTGTTTCTATCAGTCAGACATCACTCTATAGGTCACATACAATATATATTAATACATACCTTAGTGTGTGTGTGTGTGTGTGTGTGTGTGTGTGTGAGAGAGAGAGATCTGCTTCAGCAGGATGATACTTAATCTTGAACAGTCAGTTAAAGCACTTAGCTGCTTCCTGTCTCTCCAACAGGTGGAGCGACAGGTGTGTGTGTTGCAGTATTATTAACCATTCATTAGGAGGATTTTCTAAATGAACACTTCATCCTTCAGTTTATCACAAACAAAAGTACAATATGTACCTCTGAGATGTAGAAGTACAAAGTAAAATACATGTATCATGGACTAGTGCCTGAGTAGATGTACTGAGTGTATATACAGTGTATACTTGTTGTACTGAGTACTCTCTCTGTGTACTCAGATGTGGCTGCAGCTGAAGTGAAGTTCACTCCAGGAAAGAAACAGCGCAAGTTTGAGACGATGATGACGAAGGAGGAGATTGAGGAAGAGCAGAGGTGAGTTCAAGGGTTAGCCTTACCTGTCGTCGCGGTGTTTCCATGGCGCGCCATGTGGCTAACGCGCCATGTGGCTAACGCGTCATCCTGCGTGTGCTGCTGTGATGTTTCCGATTTATAACAATATAGGTTTGTGATTGAAACCGATCGATGTATTGAAATGTAATTGATCACGTGGTTGTTACAGCGCCACCTTGAGGTCAATGAGGGACATTTTAAAGTGCTTTAAGTGAAGAAAAACAACAAGACTACATAATACTTGTAGTTACTCCTCATTGTTTGTGAGTTTTCCTACAAAAGTTCGAAAAAAATGGGTTTAATTTCAGCTCGTTACACGAATAACGTCTTCTCAAAGTGAACTTCCTTTTACCTGTCCACATCCTGTCCTGTAAACACATATATCTACGTAGGAGCGAGTCCACCATGTTTCTACAGGAGCCCAGAACGGACAAACTGAACACTGGCTCTAGACAGACTTTCGACTTTTACGTTTTTCAGAAGGTAGTGATGCGTTCAGAAACCCGGTATTTAATGGCCCCGGTGCTCAATTATTAAAGATGGTAGTATTAATAAGCCCCGACGTTACTGGTGCTTTTAATTAGTAAGTTTTAATGTTTTGTTATCATTTATTATCGTGATGCAGCTTGTTTTATATCAACACATCTGTGAACATGTAAACGAAAGTGAAACCTAAATCAGTCGACGACCGCTGCTGTTTACACAAGAACAACACGAACGATCGGACAAAAGCTTTTTTAAGTAAACTAATGAGATGGAGGACAGGGGGACAGAAGACAGGAGGACAAGAGGAATGACTGATACTGACTGATGTCTCTGTTCTTCATTCTTTATAAACGCATTCCTTTAAAGCTCCATCAGGTCCTGAGACTGAATGTTGCTTAACTCTCTGTTCTCTGATTGGCTACAGCTGTGGGGGGAGGGAAGGCATTGGGCTCGTCTGATTGGTCGATCTGTTTCAGCTCTTTAAAAACAGTTCCTGAGGCCGTGAGGAGCTGCTCGTTGTGTTTCTGTTGAGTCTTTTGTTCCTCCGAGTCTCAAATGACTTCACGGGTGACCTCATGTTCGTCCTCGCTTTGCTTTTCAACCACATGTGGTGGTCTTCCTCAGCAGGAGGAGTTTTGTGTAAGGGCCCTTTAATCTGAGACCCTCTTATCTTTAGAATGCAGAGCTTGTGTTCTCGTGATGACAAGTTTATTTATGTTAAATAAAAGAATTTCAGATTTCATTTTGTTCAAACAAATTGTTTAATAATAATAATAATTAATGTCATTAATTAATAATAATAACTTAATTTGGACTAATCTACAAAGTCTGAATGTCGTCTAACAGAAACACACGACACTTCAGACTTTGTGTGTTTTTTATGTTTTGTGTATTTCCTCTGTGCGTTTTGTGTTTCCTGTGTGTATTTCTCGAGTATTTTCTGTGTATCGTGTGTACTTCCTGTGTGTATCGTGTGTACTTCCTGTGTGTATCGTGTGTACTTCCTGTGTGTATCGTGTGTACTTCCTGTGTGTACTTCCTGTGTGGACTAMCTGTGTGTATTTCTCGAGTATTTCCTGTGTGTTGTGTGTCCTTCCTGTGTGTATTTCTCGAGTATTTCCTGTGTGTACTACCTGTGTGTCCTTCCTGTGTGTATTTCTCGAGTATTTCCTGTGTGTCCTTCCTGTGTGTATTTCTCGAGTATTTCCTGTGTGTACTACCTGTGTGTATTTCCTGTGTTGTGTGTATTTCTCGAGTATTTCCTGTGTGTACTACCTGTGTGTATTTCCTGTGTCGTGTGTATTTCTCGAGTATTTCCTGTGTGTATCGTGTGTACTTGCTGTGTACTTCCTGTGTATCGTACTTGGTGTGTACTTGCTGTGTGTAGTTCCTGTGTTTACTTGCTGTGTGTACTTCCTGTGTGTATCGTGTGTACTTCCTGTGTGTAGTTCCTGTGTTTACTTGCTGTGTGTACTTCCTGTGTGTAGTTCCTGTGTGTATCGTGTGTACTTCCTGTGTGGAGGTCTCACTTCCTCCACTTTATCCTTTCAGGATAGAGTTCACGTGTGACTTGACGTCTCTGTAATGAAGCTCAGCACAAACAGATTTAGGAAGAACTTGGTAAGGTTTTTACCTTAGTAAAAGTACTAGTATACTCTGTGTACACAGAGTATACTAGTGTACTCACTGGAGACAAAAGACGGTGTGTCCTCAGACGTCCCTTCAGAACACAAAGGGTTCTACAAGAACCTTTAAGAGGAACCACAAAGACACGTGTTCCATCGTAGTACTTATACTACACAGAGCATACTTATGTGTTTAAATAAGAACATAAAGAAAGTAGTTAATGGTATTACAAGAGTAAATAAAAAATACAAAAGTCTTTTAAGAAATTCAGTGTTTTAAATGTTGTGATGTTGTACTTTCCATACTAGTATACAGTATGTACTATATACTTTGACTGTAACAGAGTACTTTTACTGTGTGGTAAAAGGTACTTTTACTGCAGTAAAGGATCCTTTTCTCTGAACTCTTCGTCCTCTTCAGGGTTGCAGGGAAACAAGAAGCTCAGCTCATAAAATAAAGCTTATTTTCAAAATGAAAGTCACAAACATGACTTAAATAAAACAAACTGTAGTTTTTATACTCTATGAAATACTTTTTAGAAATATAAATATAGCTGGTAACAGTTGATCAAAGCGCCTGGTAGCAGGCGAGCGCCCCCTGGAGGACAAACGACGTCAGTGCACCTGAAATACATCAGAAACATAAAGTTTATTATTTACTTGTTTGGTTGTTAACGGTCACAATAAACATAATAAAACAAAGACAATCGAATATAAATAAATGTAAAATACATGTATGTTTTTAAATGAAATTGGCTACACAGTAGCTGATATTATTGATTCATGAATAATAAATATTCTGTGACGAATATCTTTGAGGTTTCAGGATCACAAACACTAATAAATTATGAAATATAATATATTATTTTGTAGAGTTTCTCTGAAGTAATTTGAGGCATAATAATATTTTAATAAGAATAAGCCATGGTTGTAATTATAGTAATTTGAATGAATCATATTTATTGTTATTTTTTATTATTAATAACCAACTTGACATTTGCTAAATATGAGCTTTGATTCTTAAATTTTTAACTTTGATGTGACGTTCAAGGTCCTGCAGAAGAATCCTCAGGTGTGACTTAAGAATACTCTAAATAATGTTTTCTGTAAATATTACATTTATTTTGATTTTTTTAAATTTAATTCCCAAAAATGTTGTCTTTTTTCTTGGAGAATTAACAGTTTTTGTTTTTTTAAATATTCCAAATTAAATCTGGAAATACTTTGACTGATTTTAATAACTTTGTTATTAAGGTCCCATCCCCACAAAGCTGTCAGTCAAGCTCAGTTTCACTCACACTCACCTGTCCAGAAAAATAAGTTGGATCGCCTGAACACCACAG